CAAGCGCTTAAAGCCCCCCCCCCCCCGAGTGCCAGGCCTGACCTAGCACAGAGATAGAGGCAGAAGGAGAACACGGCTGTGGCTTGAAGTAGAAGTAGGAACAGAGGAGAAGACAAGAAAGGGAGGGAGGGGGAGGCGGGAGGCTGGGGAAGCGGGTCCTGCAGTGGAAAGGAGAATCCTTAAACAGGTGACATAATTGTAGAATGCGCCTGGCCCAGAAATAAAGCAGGGCGCCTGTCTACATGGAACCCCCTACTCATACACATCACACCACAACCCCCACACACACCTCCACACACAGCCATCTCCACCCCTTCCACATAAGTGTGCACACACATGCTCAAAATGCACACATGCAGCGAACGGGACTTCGCTCTGACCCAGACTAGCCCCTAAGGGACCTGAACCAGGAGGGTGGAAGGGAAGCTTCTGCCCTGCCCTGGCCTGGCCTGCCCTAGTGAAGGGGCAGAGTCATTGGTCAGTCTCAGACACCCAGAATGCAAAGATTGGAAAGACACTTAGAGACCACCCAGTCTAGTCACTGCCAAATGTCCCTACCCTGATTTCACCCATGGGAAAACTGAGGACCCCATTGGGAAATAACATGTCCAGGGCCATGAGCCTGGACCCTCTGCTCTGGGGGAGTCAGGCAGGACTCTGACCCCAGGGTGCCTTCCACTGCTAAGTAGGGTTTAGTTGAGCACAGACTGTGTGTGGGGCTCTGCCAGGCACCCTGGAGACCCAAGGAGAAAGACCTGCCTTGGAGGGATGGCATGATAGGTGTTGGTGATCTGGGGGCCCAGTGCACTCTGGCAACGGTCTTGTCCCAGTCGGTTCTGAGCCCCAAAGGAGCAAGCAATGGACTGGGATCAGGAGGACTGGGTTTCAGCCCATCGCAGTCCACACATGTGACATCTCTCCCTCTGTAAGGAGCACATCTTGGGCTGGGTAAGGGACCCAGCAGGGCGAGCCGTTGTCCTGGCACAATTACACTCCCCACCCACTCTGCTCTTCCATTTCAGGGTGGACAGCCTGCTAGTGTAGGGGTGAGGGCAGTAAGGTTTGAGAAGACTGGGAGGGACAGATAGGACGAGATCTCAGCCAGGATCCTCTCAGGCCAGGGTCTCCACCCCTGCAGTAGGGATGGGGGTGCCATCCTATTAGCTGGAAGCTGGGTATTGGGCTAAATGATTTGGACTCTTCTTATCCTGTCTCAGTTATTTTATTCTATTATACAAAGAAAAGCCAGTTCATTATAGAAGACCTGGGAAAGCAAACGTAAGATCAAAATTGTCCATAAGCCCTTATGGAGGGATGACTGCCTCACTCATTTGGCTTGTTTTCGGCTACACTGTTTCCATGCAGCTAGAGAAGGGGTTACTGGGATCTCACCAACTTTTTTTGCATGTTGCCTCCCCGCCCCCACGTTGATTTCTTTGCTGATTTTCTAACGGGTCTAGGACACCCAGAACCAACTCATGAACTAAGGACCCTGAGCCACAATACCCCACCTAGAAAACTGGGGGACGAGGCACTGGCCGGCTGTGGAAGAACTGGGTTTGAATTCACCTGCTAGCCACATGGTCTTGGGCAAGTCACTTCACAAGAGGAATGAGGGGTGAGGGAAGCAAAGGCACAAATAGACCCCAGCCAAGACCACCAGGTGGGACGGAATGGGGCCTGGAGCCTGTATCCCTGTAGCTGAAGGGCTGTCCTTGGAGGAAGAAAGACTGCTCTCTAGGGGGGCCCAGATACATGTCCTGTTTCTTAACCACACAAGGAAACACCTGATCATCACAGCTGTGCACACAGGTAACGAGCTCCCATCACTGTCCGGCACCAAGCAGGGGTCGGGCAGGCACTTGGCAGGCGTGGTCTGGCCTCCTTAGGTGTGAGAGGGAGCGAGACTTAGATGCATTAGTGCCCTCCTCACCCCCCAGGTCTGTGGTGCTGGCCCTAGAGCCTGGCCTCGTTCTCTTTTGTGTCATCTATCACGGTAGGTCCCAGACTTTATTCCAAATTTTTTCCTGTTAAGATGGGTTAGAGATGCCAACACTCAATTTTGCCAAGGTAAGGACATTAAAGAGATGTCATCCACAATCATCACCATTTTATTTTTTTAAATGTTCATTTAAAAACAGGGACGAGTAGTTGGCATAATGGCTACGTCGCTGGACTCCCATGTAGTTGACTGCAGTTTGATGCCCGGACCCAGTGGCTTAAACTCACACCGGGCACGTGTGCGTGCGTGCCCAAGATCCCAAGAGGAGAATGGAGAAGGGATCGCGGTGTGGCCTTCCTCCCTGGGGTGTGATTTCTCACTTTCTGTTTCTCTGTCTCTGTCTCTCTGGCAAGCGCACATGCCTTATAACAAAAACCTCTTTAAAAAAATGTTCATTTAAAAACAAAAATGTAAGAAGCAGCTAATCCCGGAGCAAGAACAGTTCTTTTCATAGACTTCCCTTTTTTGTCCTGATGGTTCTCCCTTTGTCACCAGTTGTCAGGATCTTTGTCACTGACCCATCACTTGTTCTCATACTAATTTCAGGGCACTTACATCCAGTTCCAAAGTTCTCTTCCATGTCTTCCCAATCGTGGCCAAGACGGAAAGCGTGCTTCCCCAGATGAGAAAGAAGAGGCTCTCTGGGAACTGGGGGCTTGGGTGTGTCTGTGTCTCCGGTGGCCCCAAGGGTGAAAGCTGCGTGACTCACTCTGCCTAGAATACTTTGGAATCGGCTTTGAGAACTGAGCCCCAGGGAGCTCTGGGTACTGATAGAACTTGGCTCAGGGGCTTGAGTGGTCTGGGAAGAAAGTTCTGTTTGCTTGACTTTGGCTCACTCGTGGGGAAAGCGCTTGTTAGTATTGGGAAGGGTCTGCTGGTCCGCGGTGACCCGGGCAAGGGAACGTCCTGGTTGGCGAGGGGAGCAGGACACGGTGCCCCTTCCTCACTCTGAACTTGCTGTGTTCTTTCTGTCTCCTGTATTTGGTGTCTTTCAAAGTAAATTAGCTCCGTGTTCCTTCTCTTGTAAATAATGATCTGGCTTTCTGTAAACACAGATGAGTGTGGCATGGTGTGACTCGGGTTTCTAGTTTCCCGGCCCAGAGCTGTCTTTGTGTCCACCCGGGAGAGCCAGGAGCAGGGCCTGGGGGAAGATGTCATGGTCTTCGTGTGGTGCGGTGAGACCTGCAGGCAGACGAGGCACCTCCCTCCTCCGGCCTCTTCCACCGCCTCCTTTGACATTTCTGCAGGTACATGGCCTTTGCATAGCCTTGTCCCCAGTGCGTCCACCCC